AAGAAGAAGGTGTTCGTGTGGGCAAGAAACATTGGCTTCAAGGTCAACTCAAAGAAGATGTTGGGGTAGGTGCAGCATCCAGAGGGCTGGGAGGATAGTTGGTGAGGAGGCTCAGCTTTCTCCACAGGGTCCCATCAGCCCCTTTCCACTTGATGGCATTCTTATTCACAGGAAATATAATACTCCCATGAGCTACCGCGTGGCTAAGACTCTCGTGTTCAGCAAAGTCAAGACGTCCCTTGGCTTGGATCATTGTCACTCTTTCATCAGTGGGGCTGTGCCTCTCAACCAAGAGACTGCCGAGTTCTTTCTAAGCTTGGACATACCTATAGGCGAGTTGTATGGGTTGAGTGAAAGCTCAGGACCCCACACAATATCCAACCAGAATAACTACAGGCTTCTAAGGTACCAGCCCCCGGGGCAGACCCCTGCTCCTCCCATAACATGGGGTCAAGAGGGGGAAGGTGGGTATATAGATGGGCCTCTGGGTTAAGAAGAATCCTGACGTGGTGTCTCCAGAATAATCCTCTTCTCCAGCCTCCAACTCCTAACTCTGCATGACCATGGGAAACCCTGGATGGTCAGAGAGCCCACAGACAAGGGGGATGGCTCTCTGAACATTCCATGGTCTCCCCATTTGTCATTTGTGAGTTCTGCCTCCAAGTTCACCGTCTGTGACCTCAGCACCTTTCATCCCCATGATCCCCCATCTCAAAACACCTCCATGGCCCATTCCTGGCTTTCTCCCAAGCTCAGCTTGCCCTAGGCTGCAAGGTTGAACCCAATGATAAGAAAACTTTAAGAATACCAAATTCAGGTCCAACTCCCCATCTGACAGCAGTCATAGTCATAGAATCTTCTGGTTGTGTCTCTCCCTGACTCCCTCCTTTTAGCATGGGTGAGGTTTGAAAAAAATCTTTTCATATATATGTTTATTTTTAAAAATTTATTTTAAAAATCTTTTTAGAGACAGGGTCTCACTTTGTTGCCTAGGCTGGAGTGCAATGGTACAATCATAGATCACTGTAACCTCAAACTTCTGGATTCAAGCATTCCTCCTGCCTCAGCCTCCCAACTAGCTGGGACTACAGGCATAAGCCTCCATGCTTGGCAATTTTGTAAAAATTTTTTTGTAGAGATGGGGTCTTGCTATGTTGCCCAGGCTGGCCTTGAACTCCTGAACTCAAGCAATCCTCAGTCTCCCAAAGCACTGGGATTACAGGCATGAACCATCATGCCCAGCCTTTTCATATACTTAAAAGTCATTTGTACTTCCTTTCCTATGAACTATCTGTCAATATTATCTGCCTGTTTTAAAAATTAGATTATTGGGCCCTTTATTATTGGTTTGTTGGCACTCTTTACATATTAGGAAAATCAGCCCTTTGTCTTTCATATGAGTTACAAATATTTTATTCCCTGGCTTGTCATTGGTATTCTGATTTTAGTTAAGATATTTTTTACTCTGCAGAAATTTGTGGTCACAAATTTAGATGGTTGAACTTACCAATCTTTTCTTTTATGGCTTCTGGATTTTTCTACATACCTAAAAAAGTTTCAGTGGGGGAAATCATAAGGCAGCTCTTTGTAAATTTTAAATTTCTCAGGTCTGTCTCCATTTTTTCTTTTGCTAACCGGGGGAATACCTACATTTAACCCTGGGACCACTGGCCTTGCTAACAGTTAATCAAAGAGATCTCAGCAACATAAGGGGAAAATATTTCCTTTCCTGCATCCTAGAACTACCCTGGCCAATACTATCTCTAGGGGGAAAAAAAAAAAGTAAGAAGAAGAATCCAGATTTCAAATAGTGCTACTCTGTTTTATGAAAGTAACTTTTACCTCTAAAGAGATTGTAGTTGGTTGTCATACTTAAAATTAGCTGTCTGAATCACTGCAGAGAGGTCTACCTATCTGTTTTCTTAAAAATGAGGGGGTTTTTTTCCTATCCTTAAGCCAAAAGCATTTTTTTCTTTGCCGGCATATGTGGAGATTTAAAAAAAAAAAAACAAAAACAAAAAACAGCCTGAAATGCTGTTGGATTTTCTTTTGTTTTTTTGTTTTCGTTTGTTTTATGAGATAGAGTCTTGCTCTGTTGCCCAGGCTGGAGTACAGTGGCGTGATCACTACTCACTGCAGCCTTGACCTCCTGGGCTCAGGTGATTCTCCCAGCTCAGCCTCCCAAGTAGCTGGGACCACAGGTATGCACCACCATGCCCAACTTTTATTTTTTATTATTTTTGTAGAGACGGGTCTCTGTATGTTGCCCAGGTTGGTCTTGAACTCCTGGGCTCAAGCAATACTCCCTCCTCGGCTTTCCAAAGTGTTAGGATTACAGGCGTGAGCCACCGCACCCGGCCACCGCTGGGTTTCCCGGTTCACAAAGCCTTTGGGAATCTGACACGCTGGATTAAACACTGCAGCAAACACCTCCTTCTGTGCACTCGGGTGCATATCCAGCCTGCTGTAGTTGAGCAGAGTATTAGGTACCTAGGCTGAAGATACAGGCAGAGCTGGGTGGCTGATTTTGTCTCTATGAGCCTCAGTTTCTCTGCTTCTGTCCCCTGGCAGCTGTGGCAAGATCTTGACTGGGTGCAAGAATATGCTGTTCCAGCAGAACAAGGATGGTATTGGGGAGATCTGCCTCTGGGGTAGGCACATCTTCATGGGCTACCTGGAAAGTGAGACTGAAACTACAGAGGCCATCGATGATGAAGGCTGGCTACACTCTGGGGATCTGGGCCAGCTGGACAGTCTGGGATTCCTCTATGTCACTGGCCGCATCAAAGGTACCAGGGGCTGAGTTCTTTGGGAATCTCCTGCAAGCAGGCCCTCCCTGAACATTTAAGGGCCCAGCGTACCAGCACAAAGGCCACCCCCAGTTCCTCATCTTCCAAGAGGAGCTGTGCAGAAACACCTCAGTCTGTACAACCCATCTCTGTCCTCCTGTCCAACAAACGTTACCCCTTGGTCACTTGGTATCCCATGGTCCACCCTCAGGCGGATGGACCTGCAAAAGACAAGCCTTGAAGCCCGTTTCAGAATAGCACCAGCCCAGAGGAAAACTCAGTAAGAGAAGGATAAAGAAATTCCTTGTGACATCATTTTGGCACCTTGATCCAGCCATACCTGAAGCCAGGGACCTTTTGAACTTTTCCGTTATATTGAGCCAACAGTTTTACTAAAAAAAAGTAAACTCAAACTCATTCAAGCTGGCTCAAATGGGTTTGAGTAAAAAAGTGCCATTTTCTTCCTCAGCATTTTCAGAAGACAACAATCTACAGAGTTGTAAGGATTAAAGAAAGTATAGAACAAGGATAAGCCAATTTTTCCTGAAGAGCGCCCTTTAGCAAACATTTTTGGGTTCACAAAACGTGTCTCTGTTGCAGCTTCTCAACTCGGTAATTTGTAGCATAAAAACAGCTGTTGACAACACATAAAGAATGGGTGTGGCCAGCTGCCAATATGAATGTCATAATTTTTATGTGTCAAAAATATTCTTCTTTTGACTTCCAACAACTTAAAAATGTAAAATTCATTTTTAGCTTTTGGTCATACAAAATTGAATAGTGGCCTGGATTTGGCCACTATGGGCCATAGTTTGCCAAAACCTGATGGAGAACACAGTGCTTTTTTACTCAAACCCATTTAAGATGGGTTTAAATAGGTTTGAGGGGGGGAAAAAAAAAAAAGCAAAACTGTTGACTCAACATAACTGAAAAGGTCAGTTGGCCAAAAGGTTAGCTGGCTTCAGGCATGGCTGGATCTGGGTGCCAAAATGAGGTCATAAGAAATTTTAAAATTCTTTTCTTGAGTTTTCCTCTGTGCTGCTACTGTTTTACTTTTGAGAGAGGGTCTCACTCTGTTGGCCAGGCTGGAATACAGTCTCCAATTATGACTCACTGTGGCCTCGACTTCCCAGGCTCAGGTGATTCTCCCACCTCAGCCTCCTGAGTAACTAGAATTATAGGCGCATGCCACCACACCCCACTATTTTTTTGCAGAGACCCGGTTTCACCATGTTGCCCAGGCTAGTCTAGCACTGTGGGCTCAAGTGATCTGCCCACCTCAGCCTCCCAAAGTGGCAGGATTATAGGTGTGAGTCACTCCCCCTGGCCACTAGTGTTCTTTTTTATTTTGTTTTGTTTTGTTTTATTGAGATGGTGTTTCACTTTTGTTACCCAGGCTGGAGTGCGGTGGCACAATCTTGGCTCACTGCAACCTCTGCCTCCCAGGTTCAAGTGATTCTCCTGCCTCAGCCTCCCGAGTAGCTGGGATTACAGGCGCACACCACCAAACCTGGCTAATTTTTGTATATTTAGTAGAGACGAGGTTTCACCATGTTGGCCAGGCTGGTCTCGAACTCCTGACCTCAGGTGATCCACCCGCCGCAGCCTCCCAAAGTGTTGGGATTACAGGCGTGAGCCACTGTGCCTGGCTGTTGCTTTTTTTTTTTTTTTCCTGAGATGGAGTCTCCCACTGTCGCCCAGGCTGGAGTGCAGTGGTGCGATCTCGGCTCACTGCAACCTCTGCCTCCTGGCTTCAAGAGATTCTCCTGCCTCAACCTCGCAAGTAGCTGGGATTACAGGCGCACGCCACCACACACGGCTAATTTTTGTATTTTTAGTAGCGACGGGGTTCCACTATGTTGGCCAGGCTGGTCTCAAACTCCTGACCTGGTGATCCGCCCACCTCGGCCTCCCAAAGGCTATTCTTAAATAAACTTTGCCATCTGGTAGCAAGAAAGCTACCAACAGTCTAGGCTGACCTCTAACCCCGCAAGGGGACTAGAGTGTATCATTCTCAATGTTTTCAGCGTTTTAGGCCTCTCATTGGATCCTCGAGTCAAGATATGTCTCACTGTAAGGGGTGAAATATGCTGATTGGTCAGAGCTGGTCACATGCTCACCCCTGCAGTCCAACCCACCCAAACCACATTAAAAAGTGAAGAGTAGTTCCCACTCAGTACTCTTACCCCAAGAAGGCGTTACACACTTACGTCCATTTCATGGTCATATTTATTCTTACTGCTATTAATGACCACAGTAAAGGTGACTTTGTGAGTCTCTGGGACAAGGGAGAACGAGTTTGAGTGGGTGGGACAGAAAGAGGGAAGCATCTTAGGATGAAAGAACAAGTGACCAGTGGGTCTGGGGCAGGAGGAGACGCTGTTGAAGAATCTGAGAGACTAAGGGAGATTCTTGCAGAGTTTGCCAAAATTAGGGTTACTACACATGTCCCTGGGGCTAAGACTGGAATTACATTACATTCTGAAGGGGTTACTAAGTGACTAGGAGGCAACAGACAGGCAAGGTGTGGCCAAAAAGGCTTCACTATCTTTCAAGGAAGACATATTGGAAGAACCTAAAACCAGGGCATGGTGGACCAGGAGATAGGAAATGAATTATTAAGATGCTGTCCAAGTGGAAGTCACAACTTTGGACACTTGATGATAATTAAAAGTGGGTGGGGGAAGAGGGCCAGGTCCTCCTGTGCTTCTGGGGCTTTCTGGGTGAGTGTTGGCCATGCCAGCAGCTGCCCTTCTGATCTCCAAGGGGTTGGGGGTTCCACGTTGTCATGGCTGGACGTGTACCAAGTCAAGCTCTGTTCCAGAAATCCTTATCACTGCTGGTGGTGAAAACGTGCCCCCCATTCCCGTTGAGACCTTGGTTAAGAAGAAGATCCCCATCATCAGTAACGCCATGTTAGTAGGAGATAAACTGAAGTTTCTGAGCATGTTGCTGACGCTGAAGGTAACATGGGTTTTCTGTCATTGGGGGAAGTCTCTGCAGCCGCTCTTACGTTCCCTGGCCCCACCCCAGGGTCAAGAGGATGCAGCTGTGGGTTCAAGACCCACTTCTTGGTCTGTGGGCCTGGGGAGGGGTGCTGGTCAAGGAGTATGTGTGGTGACAGAGGTGTCCGGGGGCAGTGTGAGATGAATCAGATGAGCGGAGAACCTCTGGACAAGCTGAACTTGGAGGCCATCAACTTCTGCCGGGGTCTGGGAAGCCAGGCATCCACCGTGACTGAGATTGTGAAGCAGCAAGACCCCCTGGTCTACAAGGCCATCCAGCAAGGCATCAATGCTGTGAACCAGGAAGCCATGAACAATACACAGAAGATTCAAAAGTGGGTCATCTTGGAGAAGGACTTTTCCATCTATGGTGGAGAGCTAGGTGAGTGGCCATGACGTTTGGAGACTGGTCCCTTGTTAGCATCCGGGACTGTGTGGGCTCTGAAGAGACGGGTCCTTTTCTGAAGGTCAGAGGATCTATGAGACCAGCCAGGGACCAGGAGAGGGATGCTGCCACCTCTAGCTAACTGGTCCCCAGCTCCTCATCTTGGAAATAAAATCCAAACTCCTTACTATAGCTCTACACAATCTCTCTCCTGCTGACCTTTCATTCACTCTGCACCAACTCTATGGGCTTTCTTGATGTTCCTGCAGCTCTCTGGGCTTTGTCCAACTGTAAGGCCTTTGCACTTGCCAGTCTGCCTCCCTGGTAATACCCTTCCCCCTCAATTCCTTGCCTGGATGGCTCCTTCTCATGGTCCAGGTCTCACCCTACAGGCCTCTTCCTCCTCAGAGCAGCCTTGTTACAGGACCACCAGGTTTGTATGCCCACTGCACACTAATATACCAATACACTGAGACAGCAAGGGATGCAGCAAAGACAGAGTTTAATTATGGCCAGGCACAGTGACTCACACATGTAATCCCAACACTTTGGGAGGCTGAGGTGGGCAGACTGCTTGAGCCCAGGAGTTTGAGACCAACCTGGGCAACATGGTGAAATACTATTTCTACAAAAAAATACAAAAATTAGCTGGATATGGTGGCATGTGCCCAGCTACTCAGGAGGCTGAGAGGATCACTTGAGCCCGGGGAGGTCAAGGCTGCAGTGAGCCACAATCATGCCACTGCACTCCAGCCTAAGCAATGGAGACCCTGTCTCAAAAACAAAAAATCAAACAACAAAAATAAAAATAAAAAAGGAAATTAAATTCCCTTGCAGGGAAGCCAACTGAGATGGAAAGAACCCTCAAATCTCTCTTTGAGGAATTCTGGGCTGGGGTTTTAAGGGGATCTTTGGGGGTGAAGGGCTGGAAAATTAGAGTCATTGATTGGTTCGGGTAAGGGGGATGAAATCATCTGGATGTGGAAGCTGCATTCTTTGGTAATTCAGCTCCTGTGGGGTCCTTCAGATCAGTGGGCATCAGTAGTTTCACTGGTATGCAGGACTTGAAAAGATATCTCAAATGGAAAACTTAACCTTTCACAATGCTTAATATGTTATCTGTAGAACAGTTAAGGGGAACTATATCTTGTGACTGGGTTTTTTTTGTGTGTGTGATTCTGGGGCAATAGGCAGACAGCTAGCTATGAGGAAGGGGTCAGAGAGCAAACTGACCTAATGATGAATGTTGAGTGTGTTGTAAGTATGGCTGATTTTAGTTTCTCCCCCTCCCTTCTTCTCTGATTAATATTATAAAGTTTTTAGGAATGGTTTCAGCCTTCCCTGACCATGCTGGCTTAAGTGGCTTGCCATTGTCCTTAATATTTCACCCTGTAGCTCACTGTCACCCCCATTATACCACCTTGTCTTCTTTAAAGCATCAGAACATGAAATTATTCTCTGTATGAGTCTTATTTTTGCCTCTCTTTCCCTATGAGGGAAGGGCTCACTCCAGAGTGGGGATACTGGATTCTACCAATGTACTTTCATTTGGGAGTTTGCTGTCAGTGCTTGGCTGTAATCTGACGGTGTGGATGGAAGAGTCAGAGCAAGCATGTGGCATTGAACAACCTGGGTTGAAATCCTGTCCCCTCTACACAGGGAAGTGACTTGTCCTACTGAGCCTTGTTTTTTGTTTGTTTTGAGACAGTCTCGCTCTGTTACCCAGGTTGGAGTACAATGGCATGATCACGACTTGCCGCTGCAGCCTTGAACTCCCAGGCTCAAGCAATCCTCCCACCTCAGCTTCCTGAGTAGCTGGGACGAGTGTGCTCCACCACGTGTGGCTATTTTCTTTTTGTTTTGTAGAGATGGTGTTTTGCCGTGTTGTCCAGGCTGGTGGTCTTCTCAACTATAAGCTGAAAAACAGTCCTTGTGGGGTTGCTTGAGACACGCAGAGAGGTCATCAATGCCCCTGGTGACTCAGAGGCTTTCAACGAAAGTCCTGGGCTGAGGGAGCAGACAACTCCCAGTTTGAGTCTTGATTCTGCCATGCACTTGCTGGCTGACCTCAGAGGAACTGGTCCTCTCTATGTTCCAGTTTCCTCACCTGTAAAATGGGGATGGGGCATGGTTTGAGATGATGATATCCCTCCTCCATTGGGTACACAGTCCACATCAGGCACAGAATGCAGCGTGCTCTTCACCTTCCACCTCACAGAATCCTCACCACAGCTGAAGGACCACATGGAAGTTTTATCATCCCCATACAGATGGCAAAAGTTACACACCCTGAAAGTCAATGGCACAGCCAGCCACCCAGCCTAGCCCGAGGCATGGGACTCTGTTGCCTGGTCATGCATGGGTGTATGGAATTTTCTTTTATCTCCGTAACTCAATTGATTTCTCCTTTCTCAATAGGTCCAACGATGAAACTTAAGAGACATTTTGTAGCCCAGAAATACAAAAAACAAATTGATCTCATGTACCACCGACAGCTTTGATGGAGCTGCTGTCACCTGTTCTGATGGTGAGATTCAGTTGCTTGGCTTTGCTGGGCTATGCATTCAGAGTCCAAGAGAGGGCTCCACTGTGTGGCAGGCAGATCTGTGATTGGAATTGCAGAACACACAGACACAGACACACACAGTTGCAGTGGGTTCTGAGCAGCAGGCTTCAACTCATACCAGGGTCATGGTAGGGTATGTAAACTCCTTCAACTAGCCACCAATGATGTGAGCTGTGCTTCCCGCCTTTTCTATTTGTTTCTAGAAAGTAGGAGGCAATAAATCCCAAATGTCTCTTTGGGTCTTATTTGGAGAAGGCCTTTTGTCAGAAACTTTAGTGGAGAAAGTTCTACTTGCCAGGAATCCAAGGAATTAGGTGTGTTGGCCCATTACACAGATTAATAAGGGATGGAGGCTTGAACTTCCACTACCCACCATTTCTCCTCTCCTCTCCTCTCCCCAAGGCATGTGCAGAGGGAGCCTCCATGACACCATGAATCACTGATAGTTTTTTTTGTTTGTTTTCTTCACTAGATGCACAATGCAGGCAGAAAGTAGAATGCATCTTCAATTGTCCTATAGGCTGCCTGTAACCTTCTCCTGGGCAAATTGTTCTAATGCCACCAGCCAACCCATGTTTTAGTTTGCTGGGGCTACATAACAAAGTACCACAGACTGGAGGGCTTAAACAACATAAATGTATTGTCTCACAGATCTGCATGCTAAAACTGTGAGATTGAGAGGCTGATTGGCTTGGTTCCTTCTGAGGGCTGTGAGGGGAGGATCCATTCCAGACCTCTCTCCTTGGCTTGCTGATGGCTGTCTTCTCTCTGTGTCTTCACATCATCTTCCCTGTGGGTGTCTCTGTGTTCAAATTTCCCTTTTATAAGGACAGGTTAATAAGATTAGGGCTCACCCTAATGACCTCATTTTAACTTCTGTAATGATCCTGTTTCCAAAGAAGTTATATCCTGAGGTACTAAAGGTTAGGACTTCAACACGTGAACTGTGGAGGGGTACAACTCAGCCTGTGACTCATCACATCCATTGTCCTTTGTTCAGTGTTAACTGGTTTAACCCTTCTGCACCTTCATGTGTCGATGTCTTGTGGGTGGGCCCAGCAGTTCAACGTACCACATTCATAATTCTTCATCTTTCGTGAGATTTCCAATTTCACTTTCCAGTTGAATGAGAAACCATTGGACATTGATGCGGGAGTGAGAGATGGACCCTCTTATACCAGTGCTGTCCAATATGGCAGCCACTGGCCACAATGTGGCCTGTCCAAACCAAGATGTGCTGTAATACATAAAACACACACTGGGCTTCAAAAGCTCAGCACTATATATATATATATAATATATATATTATACATATTATATATATATAAATAAAATATCAGTATTTTAAAATTTTGATTACATGTTGAGATGATATTCTGGAATACTGGGTTACATAAAATATTTATTATTAAAAGTACTTTTACCAGTTTTAAATTTTTATTTACTTTTTAGAGACAGGATCTTGCTCTGTTGCTCAGGCTAGAGTGCAGTGGTACATTCGTACCCAGTGTTTTAAATGTTTTTGTGAGGATAAGGTCTTTCTATGTTGCCCAGGTTGGTCGCAAACTCCAGGCCTCAAGCGACCCTCCTGCTTCAGCATCACAAAGTGCTGTGATTACAGGTGTGAGCCATTGTGCCTGGCCAAGTTCCTTTTTTAAAAATGTGGCTGCTAGGAGAAAGGCGTGAACCCGGGAGGTGGAGCTTGCAGTGAGCTGAGATTGCGTCACTGCACTCCAGCCTGGGAGACAGAGTGAGACTCTGTCTCAAAAAATATAAATAAGAATGTTTAAAAAGTGGCTGCTATATATTATTAAATTGCATAGGTGGCTCCAGTAATGTTTCTTTTGGATAGTGCCACTCTAAAGTTCATTGTGGGGAGATTTTGGGTGATGGCCAATTTATAAATGGATCAATTCACTGGGGAATATTTTCATCATATGGTGACTGTGGGATCTTGGAGACTGAATGCACATATTACGAGAATCCCCCAGTGATAACTTGTGTTTCTCCTCTTTGCAGCCTTCGGCAGGAAGACCTCATTGCAATAAGTGAAATGCTGCTCTGGGTAGACGCTCTTCCTGCTGTTTTTAAGGAGCCACATTCCTCCTTGGTCAGTTTCTTGATTGTTCGTCTGTTGAAGAGGTGCTCCCTAGAAGAACCTGCCATACGTTTCAAAGCATGAAAATCATCATAGATCTTTCTACGGACCTTCAAGTCATGACCCCAGGGAAGCCTTACTGGGAAGTCTACCAAGAGCTGCCTGATTTGGAAGAAAGATCTGAACTTGTGGGTTCCCATTTGATTTTTTTTTTCTCCTCAGGGGACTTAAAGAGACATTAGAAAGAAAAAGCCTTCACAGATTTGAAGAACTGGGCCCCCAAATGAACTCACCTGCCTGGAAGCAACTGGGTAACCCTTCCAATAAGTTCTGATAATAAAGCACTTCAGGGCCCCATGTCTTGATTTTTGGCTTGACACAAATACTTCGTCCTTTATTTAGTGTGATGGGGAGGGACTTGGCCTCTGAAATCGGTTCTGGGTTCAGACTGTGACCAGCTGTGATTTCAACTGTCTGAGGCTCAGAGATTTTACATCTGGAAAGTAGATCCCCATCTCGGAGGGTGGCCACGGAAGTTCATGGAGATGATGTACAGGGAATGCAGTGTCTGACTCCAGAAAGTCCTCGGTATGAGTTAATGGTTATCATCAACACAGTCAGTCTTGGTTAACTCAGGAGTCAAGGTATGACTCTTGACTAATTCCATCATTAGGGAGGAGTTTTGCTGTTGTGGTAAAATTCAATAAGAACAACTGAAAGAAGATAGTTTATTCCTCTCCCATCCAACAGTCCGTTATAAGCAGACCAGACCTGAAACGGCATATTCATAGTGTGTCCCTGAAATATTAGTAGGGAGAGTGGGAGAGGGAACATCTCCCAGGCTGGAGAGAAACAGCTTATCAGGAGCAACAAAACTCCCAATGTCTCTTAAGGTTCTAGATACTGATCAGAGGCAGGCCAGAGACCCTTTTGAGTTCCATTTTTGAAATACACCAGAAATTTAAAATGCCATTCTCCTTGCAAAAAAAAAAAAAAATTAACGCAATGCAGATAAGGCTAATGTCAACTTTGAGTGCTGTATTAGGCCATTCTTGCACTGCTATAAAAGAAATACCTGAGATGGGGTCATTTATAAAGAAAAGAGGCTTAATTAATTAGCTCATGGTTCTACAGTCTTTACAGAAAGTATGGTGCTGGTGCCTGTTCAGCTTCTGGTGAAGCCTCAGGGAGCTCGCAATCATGGCAGAGGGCAAAAGGGGAGCAGGCATGTCTCATGGCGAAAGCAGGAGCAAGCCAGAGGGAGTGCCACACATTTTTAAATGACATCTTTCCAGAACGCACTATCGTGAAGACAGCCCCAAGCCATGAGGGATCTGGCCCCCGCCGTGACCCAAACACCTCCACCAGTCCCCACCTCCAGCACTGGGGATTACAGTGCAACATGAGATTTGGGCAGGGACAAATATCCAAACCACATCAATGGCCCTCCTCAACTATTTGGTGGGCTTTTACTTTTTAATAAGTTAGTACAGTTGGTCCTCATTATTTGCCGATTCCGTATTTGCAAATTCGCCTCACCGCTAAAATTTGCTTGTAAACTCCAAATCAATATTTATGGCACTTTAGAAGTCATTCCAGGACATACACAGGAGTGAAAAATTTGAGTGGCCGACTGTACATTCCCATCTGAGGTTGAACAAGGCGATGCTCTGGCCTCGTTTCAGCTGTCACACTGTAAACAGTACCCTTTCTGAGGTATATCTCACGCCACATTTTCTGCATTTTCATGTTTCTGTTAGTAAACCTTTTTGAGTTTTTTTAAAAATAGAGCCAGGGCCTCAGTCTGTCACCCAGGCTGGAGTGCACCGGTGTGATCTCAGCTCACTGTAACTTCAAATTCCTGGGCTCGAGGGATCCTCTCCTGTCTTGGCCTCCTAAAGCACTGGGGTTACAGGTATGAGCCACTGAAATCAGCCAAACCCTTCTGATTTTATCCATGACTATACTGTACAATTTTGGGTCAATATAATTCTGTTTTATAGCTTGTTTCTACTGTCCATGTGATCTCCCCACTTTTAGGTTTTCTAGGTAGTTAATGTTGGTATATGGAAAAGCTGTTGATTTTTGTATGTTAATATTATATTTAGACACCCCACTGCTAACCTATTTCTCAAAATGTGTAAGCTTTTTACAGAGATGTGCATATCTTTTGCAAATATTTTTTCACTTCCTTTTCAATGTAGATTCCTCCTCAAGGAAATACAAATGGTTGATTATGTCAAGTGAGGGAAGCTCAAATACAGGAGAGGAATGTATGTGTTTTCTATAATGATTCTCACCCTGGTCTCACTGTTCTCTTAATGTTCTCTCAATGTTTTTTGAGAAACGACAAGAATCTGCTATCGTCAGGAAGGCTTTTAAAATTTAACTGTGGTAAAATATACGTAACATAAAATGTGTCGTTTTAACCCTTTGTTATTACACAGTTCAGTGGCATTAAGCACATTCACATCGTAGTACAACCATCAACACGACACATTTCTAGAAGTTGCATCTTTTCAAACAGAAACTTTGGATCCATCAAACAATTCCCCGTTTCCCCTTCCCCTGAAAGCTATCATTCTACTTTCTGTCTCTTGAATTTTACTACTTTAAGCACCTTAAAAGTAAAATTGTAGGCTGGGTGCGGTGGTTCATGCCTGTAATCCCAGCACTCTGGGAGGCCGAGGAGGGTGGATCACGAGGTCAGGAGTTCGAGACCAGCCTGGCCAATATGGTGAAAGCCTGTCTCTACTAAAAATACAAAAATTAGCCAGACGTGGTGGAGTGCGCCTGTAGTCCCAGCTGCTCAGGAGGCTGAGGCAGAAGAATCACTTGAACCCAGGAGGCGGAGGTTGCAGTGAGCTGAGATCATACTACTGCACTCTGGCCTGGGTGACAGAGCGAGACTCTATCTCAAAAAAAAAAAAAAAAAAAAAGAGGGGGTATTGTAAGAATATTTGCCATTTTCTGGCTGGCTTATTTAACTGAGGATAATGCCTTTAAGGGTCATCCTTTTAAAAAGTTTTTTCAATTTTTTAACAATTTTTTAAAAATAGAGACAGGGTCTCCCTATGTTGCCCAGGTTTGTCTTGAACTCCTGGCCTCAACTGATCCTCCCATCTCGGCCCCTCAAAGTGTTGGGATTACAGGTGTGAGCCACCATACCTGGTCTCATCCATGTTTAGCACGTGTTAAAATTTCTTTTTTCAGGCTGAGTAATATTTCATCATGTATGTATACACGTGTGTGTGTACACATATATACGTGGATAAATTTAATTTATCCGTTCATCCATCAATAGACCCTTGGGTTACTTCCCCCTTTAGGCTCTTGTGAATCATACTGCTGTGTATATGGGTCCATGGCATGGTTCAGGGTCCATGGCAGAAACACATTCAGTGCCCAGAAAAGAAACCATGGGTGTATAAATACCTCTTCACACCCCTGCTTTCAATTATGCTTGGTGGGTAAATGAATTCATAAAACCCCAGGCACAGCGACTCAAAGTCCTTCTCTAACTCAGCCTTCCGGGAGCCCAGGGCTCTGTTTCCTTGACCTCCATGATGCCCGCACCTTATTTACCTCCTCCATCTCACCACTCTTCTTCCAGTTCCCTTGTGAACTGTCTCACTCAAAGCCAACTGTGTGGAGCAGGACTCTGGAGTCCCTCCCGCTGCCAGACTTGCCCCTGGCTCTTCCCTGGGGACTGTCACCTTGCAGACCACTGGCCTGTCAGAGCAGTGAAGGGCCTTCTTGGGTAGACCCTCCCTGCCCTCTAAAACTGGTCTCTACAAAGAGGCAATGGGTCATGTCTCCATCGTGGCTGTGGGCCACGGGATCCACAGTGATGTCACCAGGTTGGCCATGGACAGGAACATTCTGGATATCTGGTCTAGAGACCACTGTCCCCCTGTGGCTAGAATCCCTGTGGCTAGAACAGGGGGAGTGACCAAGAAGATAAAAAGGTAGAGTCGCCGGGCGCGGTGGCTCAAGCCTGTAATCCCAGCACTTTGGGAGGCCGAGGCGGGTGGATCACGAGGTCAGGAGATCGAGACCATCCTGGCTAACATGGTGAAACCCCGTCTCTACTAAAAATACAAAAAACTAGCCAGCCGTGGTGGCGGGCGCCTGTAGTCCCAGCTACTCGGAGGCTGAGGCGGGAGAATGGTGTGAACCCGGGAGGCGGAGCTTGCAGTGAGCCGAGATCGCGCCACTGCACTCCAGCCTGGGCGACACAGCAAGACTCCATCTCAAAAAAAAAAAAAAAAAAAAGGTAGAGTCCAGAGGAGGGCATATAGTGGCTCACGCCTGTAATCCCAGCACTTTGGGAGGCCGAGGCGGGTGGTTCACGAGGTCAGGAGGTTGAGACCATCCTGGCTAACATGGTGAAACTCTGTCTCTACTAAAAACACAAAAAATTAGCCAGGCATGGTGGCGGGGGCCTGTAGTCCCAGCTACTGGGGAGGCTGAGGCAGGAGAATGGCGTGAACCCAGGAGGCAGAGCTTGCAGTGAGCCGAGATTGCGCTACTGTACTCCAGCCTGGACCACAGCGAGAGACTCTGTCTCAAAAAAAAAAAAAAAGGTAGAGCCCAGAGTGGGCACTGCCTTCCCAATGACAGAGGGGCATGAAAATATGTTGTGGACACGAGGGAGGGACTGGGAGCCCACATATGTCAGCTCCCCCTGGGGATGAACTAGGCTGCACACCAGGTGGGGAATGGGTGTGGTAGATTCATTTCCTTCCTTCCATGCTCCTTCTTCTCTTCACACCGGCCCCCAACCGCCTTCATCACGTTTTTCCCTTTCTTTCTTTCTTTCTTTTTTTTTTGGAGACAGAGTCTCCCTCAGTTCCCCAGGCTGGAATGCAGAGGTGCGATCTCAGTTCACTGCAACCTCCACCTCCCAGGTTCAAATGATTCTTTTGCCTCAGCCTCCCGAGTAGCTGGGATTACAGGTACCCGATACCATGCCTGGCTAATTTTTGCATTTTTAGTACAGATGGGGTTTCACCATGTTGGCCAAGCCTCAAGTGATCTGCCCACCTTGGCCTCCCAAAGTGCTGGGATTACAGGCATGAGCCACTGCACCCAGCCTGTTACCTCTTTATTTATTTATTTTTTTTATTTTTTTTAATGAGACGGAGTCTCATTATGTCACCCAGGCTGGAGTACAGTAGTGTGATCTCGGCTCACTGCAACCTCCACTTCCTGGGTTCAAGAAATTCTCCTGCCTCAGCGTCCTGAGTAGCTGGGACTGCAGGTGTGCACCACCACGCCCGGCTAATTTTTGTATTTTTTAGTAGACACAGGATTTCACCATATTGAACAAGCTGGCCTCAAACTCCTGACCTCGTGGTCCGCCCGCCTCGGCCTCCCAAAGTGCTGGAATTACAGGCGTGAGCTCCGGGCCCGGCCGCTTTTTACCTCTTTTAAGATGCTTCTCCCTCCTTCCTTTGCCTGGTCAGTGTCTACCCACTGTTCAGAGAAGCCTTCCCTGGTCACCCCCATGACTCGGTGGGAATCCTGTGCCTCCCTGTTGGACACTCCCACCCCCGCTGCCCGCTGTAGTTTCGTTTGAAGATCTGTCTGCCCAAGCCCAGCAAACTAGATGCCCCACACAAGAAGAAGAAAAACAAAGATACTTTGGAGACCATGTTTTCGGACAGATTCAGAGTCCATGACAGAAAGGCACTCAACACCCAGGAAAGAAAAACAGAGGTCGGGGTTCCTTGGCTCCTGGGTGAGGCTAGTGGGGCTCCCAAAGAAGCCAGTTTGAGATTGGGGGATCTAGAGCTTCAGGGCTGGCCAAGGGCAGTTCAGCCAGTGTCAGGATCCTTTAGGGTTCAATCTGTCTCTTCAGAAGTCGCCTGATGGGATAGGGGCATGGAAAGCACGGCCACAGGGTGCCAGGTTGGGTGTATGGGGGCTTGGGGGGTGCAGGTGGTTAGTTGTCAGAAGGGTCCAGTCCCTGGGGAGGATACGGCGCCCGGCAGGGACAGTGTGGGCCTGCAGCTGACCTGTCTGCTTGCTGGTGGGTTTCCTGCTGAACTCCTCTCTCTGGGTCAGTGCGTCTTACTGTCCACCTGTCCCCTGCATCCCCTTCTGTGCCTCGCTGGTCATCTCTTTCTCCCTTGGCAATCCACTTCATACCTCACGCCCCCTCTGTCTGCCATCTCTCAGTGCCACGCCCCCGCCTGTGCCCCCATCTCTCCCTGGTTTTGCCCCTGACACCCCACCTGCTCGCCTCTCTCTAGGTCCACTGGGGGTCTCCGGACGCCGCCGACCCGCCTGTCCGCAGGCTGAGCTACTTGGACCACGGAGCGCGACGAGGAGGCGCGACTGCGGCTCAGCAAGGACTAGGTTAGCAACGAGACACTCCTCACCGTGCACGACATGGTCGCAAGCACGGCCATCAAGTACGCCAACAACATCGCGCCCGGCTCCAACTACAGAGACAGGGGCCACCTGCTCACCTACTTCGAGTACCACGAGCAGCTTCTGTGCGTCCCCAAGTCTTTCTTCGAAGTACCGCCAGGCGGCCCGCGCCTGCGCGCCTCTCTCGCCCCTCCTGCGCCTGCGCGCCTCTTCTACACCCACCCTCCTGCGCCTGCGCGCCACTTACTTCACCTCCTGCACCAGCGCACCGCTCCAGGGCCTTTCTTCCCCCGCCCCTCCCCACCTCCTGCGCCTGCGCGCCTTTCCTGCCCTCTGGTACGCCTGCGCACCGCTCCGGCCCACCCGCTTCTGCGCCTGCGCGCTGCTGCAGGGCCTTCCTCCCCCAGCCCCCCGCCTCCTGCGCCTGCGCGCCACTCCTTCCCTCCTGCGCCTGCGCGGTGTTACTCTCCCGTAACTGCCTCTTGTCTGACCCGCATGTTTGTTTGAATGGATTCCCTGAGGCTGCCTGAGAGCCAGAGATGAAAAGCTGCAGCCTTAGGGGGCCCGGTTCGGATCCCAGAGCAGCCATTAGCTACGTTTCTCTCGCACGAATTACTTTGCCTTTGTGCCTCTGTTTCCCCATATGAAGAATTTACATATACATGTATATGTAAAGGCCAGGCGCGGTGGCTCACGCCTGTAATCCCAACACTTTGGGAGCCCGAGGCAGGCGGATCACTTGAGGTCAGGAGTTTGAGACCAGCCTGGCCAACATGGTGAAGCCCTGTCTCTACTAAAAATACAAAAATTAGCCAGGCATGGAGGTGCATGCCTGTAATCCCAGCTACTCTGGAGGCTGGAGGCAGGAGAATCACTCCAACCCGGGAGGCAGAGACAGTGAGCCGAGATGGTGCTACTGCACTCCCGCCTAGGCAACAACAGAGCGAGACTCTGTCTCAAAAGAAAAAAGAGAAGAAAAGTCATTCCAATACCCATAATAAACTGGATCTTCAAGTAAAAATACTGTTAAAAATTTAAAAATTAAACATAAAAATATGTATAATTAGATATATACATTTAAAATATAGTTCTTATAAATGCACAGTATATAAAACATCTGTTTATGGATAAATTTTATGTGTGCTATACTTTTATGTTAAATTTAATATAAAATATGTTCATTTATATTAGCATTTTGTATGTAAATATACAAAATATAACAGCAGCTAGCTCACAGCTTTGCTGCATGGATTCAGTGAGTTTACACACATTCAATAGCTCTGGCACACACAAAGCATTGCACCAGCATTCACTATTTATTATTTTTATGGTTCTTTTTCGTTTTTGTTTTTGAGACAGAGTCTCGCACTGTCGCCCAGGCTGGAATGCAGTGGTGCGATCTTGGCTCACTGCAACCTCCGCCTTCCGGGTTCAAGCAATTCTCCTGCCTCAGTCTCCCGAGTAGCTGGGATTACAGGTGCCTGCCACCACATCCAGCTAATTTTTTGTATTTTTAGCAGAGACAGGGGTTTCACCATGTGGGCCAGGCTGGTCTCAAACTCCTGACCTCAAGATTCGCCCACCTTGGCCTCCCAAAGTGCTGGGATTACAGACGTGAGACACCATGCCCGGCCATTTTTATGGTTTTTATTGTGTCTCTTCTCCAGTGGCACGTCCTCAGCGAGGTCTTTCCTTGCTCCCCTGGTTCCCCAGACCTACCCCCTTCCCCCTCTCTGTGACAGTGCCTTTAAAAGTTGTCTGCCCAGGGCCAGGCACGGTGGCTCACGCCTGTAATCCCAGCATTCTGGGAGGTTGAGATGGGCGGATCACTTGAGGTCCGGAGTTTGAGACCAACCTGGGCAACATGGTGAAACTCTGTCTCTACTAAACGTACAAAACAATTAGCCAGGCATGGTGGCACACCTGTAATCCCAGCTACTTGGGAGGTAGAGGTTGTAGTGAGCCAAGATCATGCCACTGCACTCCAGCCTGGGCGACAGAGCAAGACTCTGTCTCAAAGAAAAAAAAAAAAAAATCTTCCCAGTTTTTATCATCATGGCTACAAGCTACCATGGCCGTTTGTTTATTTGGTCATTTCCCTGAGGGCGAGCGGCCGGATTGCCTTGTTGTTGTACCAGCGCCAACCCTCTGATGTTTGTTGAATGAATGAACACCCATTTCTCAGATTAGGAAAGGGGATAAGAGACCTCCTGTGACTTGTTCAGTCCATGTAATAAACAACTAAATTATGCAATAGGTAGACAGAGGTCAGTAATTCAGAGGAATCCAAAGCATGTAAAGGAGAAAACTGCTGAGGTGGGGGCAGAATTTAAAAATATGGCGGCTAGCCAGGTGCGGTGTCTCACCCCTGTAATCCCAGCACTTTGGGAGGCTGAGGAGGGCAGATCACTTGAGGTCAGGAGTTCGAGACCAGCCTGGCCAATATGGTGAAACCCTGTCTCTACTAAAAAATACAGAATTAGCTGGGTATGGTGGTGCACACCTGTAATCCCAGCTACTTGGGAGGCTGAGGCAGGAGAATTGCTTGAACCTAGGAGCCGGAAGTTGCAGTGAGCTGAGATCATGCCACTGCACTCCATCCCGGGCAACACAGTGAGACTCTGTCTCAAAAAAAAAAAAAAAAAAGGAAAAAAGAAAAGAAAAACATGGCTAAGGAGAACCTCACTGAGAAAGAGATATTTCAACAAAGACTTCAGTGAAGAGGAAAGATCTAGGGGACGGTGTTCCAGGTCAAGGGGAGTTTGTGCAAAGGCCCTCAGGCAGGACAGTGCATGCTGTGTTGAAGGAATAGGGAGGAGGCCCGTGTGGCTGGAGCAGAGTGAGGGAGGGAGGGGGTGGGGAAGGTCGAGAAGTGCCTGGTGGGCCTTGGGGAGAATGTGGCTTTTACCTGAGGGGAGGGGGACTGGGAGCCATGGAGGCAGAGGAGGGATGTACCCTGAATTCAGGTGCTCTCTGGCTACTGTGGGGAGGACAGACTGAGTAGAAAGAGACCAGCTGAGATTGAGATGCTGATAGTTTGGACCAAGGTGTAGCAGGGGAGAGGGTGAGAAGCGTTCGGATTCTGAAAGCAGAGACCACAGAATTTCTCGGTGTCTCAGCAGAACCCACTGAGAATGACCAAAGTTTCTGGTCGGTGCCACTTGAAGGATGGAGCTGCTGTTGTCTGAGATTATGGAAGGTTGGAGTGGAGGGAGGAGGTTTAGGGACAAGGGCTATTAGTAATATCCCTCCCCTAGCTGGGCTCCCCTAGCTGGGTTTGAGATGTGTGTTAGACGAGGAAATGAGGGGTGGGCAGCTGTATCCAAGAGTCTGCAGTGGCGGGGAGGGGCCCCACCTGGATCCGATGGGCTCACCTGAGTGAATGGAACCAAGAGAGTTACACCATCTTAAATTATCAGGTGGACACTTATGTCAGCACAGATAATCTCAGTGCACAGGCAGAGCTTGAGCTACCAGGGTGTTCACCTCAACATTTTACCTAATAAAACCAGGCTGGGCGTGGTGGCTCATACCAGCTTGGACGACATAGTGAGACCGCCATCTCTAAAAAATATGAAAATTATGGTGGCATGGTGGTGCACATGGAGTCCTAGCTACTCAGAAGGCTGAGGTGGGAGGATCGCTTGAGCCAAGGAGGTGGAGGCTGCTGTGAGCCATGGAGGCACCACTGCACTCCAGCCCTGGGTGACAGAGCAAGACCCTGTCTCTTTTATTTACTTATTTATTTTTGAGACGGAGTCTCGCTCTGTCACCCAGGCTGGAGTGCAGTGGCGCGACCTCGGCTCACTGCAAGCTCTGCCTCCCGGGTTCACGCCATTCTGCTGCCTCAGCCTCCCGAGTAGCTGGGACTACAGGCGCTCGCGACCGCACCCGGCTCATATTTTGTATTTTTTGTAGAGACGGGGTTTCACCGTGTTAGCCAGGATGGTCTCAATCTCCTGACCTCATGATCCGTCCCAAAGTGCTGGGATTACAGGCGTGAGCCACTGCACCTGGCCAAGACCCTGTCTCATTAAAAAAAAAGAAAGAAAGAAAGAAAAAAAAAAAGTGGAACCAACAACAAAAAACCCAGCAGCCAGAGCCTACGTATCAGCCAATAAGGGGGATGATTAAATCATGACATCTCTATACTACACGACATTATGGAAGTGTTAGATTTGATATTGCAGAGAAATATTTAAAGACTGGGGGAAACAGTCAAGATGAATGGTTTTGTGAACAAAGGCAGGTACCTATGTGTAGTATTGCCCTGGCTCTGTGAAGTATGCGTGCTTAAAAATGTCAGGAAGGTATTTTGTTTGCAGTTCTTTTTTCCAGGATTTCTCAATCTCCGGGCCGTTGTCCTCAGGGGCCGGATCATTCTTTGTGGTGGAGAATGTCCTGTGAGTATCTCGTCTCTATCAAAGCCAGTGGCGCTTCATTCCCGGAGCTATGACAACCCCTAATGTCTCCAAGTATTACCAAAAGTCCCCGGAGGAACAGAATTGCCCCCTGGCTGAGAGCCCCAGTTCTAGATGAATGTGTGGTTGCTTGTCATGGGGGGGATGCGTTATTTTATCAGAGAAAACAACAACAACAACAAACAAAACAAAACAAAACAAAAAAAAACAGAAGAAACAGGACAAGCGAGGTGGTTGTAATCCCAGTGCTTTGGGAGGCCAAGGCGAGTGGATCGCCTGAACCCAGGAGTACAAGACCAGCCTGGGTGACATAGTGAGATCCCGTCTCTACAAAAAATTAAAAATTAAAAAATTACCCAGGTGTGGTGGCGTACACCTGTAGTCCCAGCTACTTAGGGGACTGAGGCGGGAGGATGGCTGGGGCTGGGGGAGGTCGAGGCTGCAGTGAGCCATGATTGCGCTATTGCATTCCAGCCTGGGCAAGAGAGCAAGATGTTGTTTCAGAAAAAAAGAAAAAAAAGAAGAAGAAGAAAGAAGAAACAGGCAACAGAGAAAAGGGAGCCAAAGGTTCTCAGCCTGAGGCTCCCGGGCAGGTGGGAGGGGATGGCTGAGCCTCCTAGTGCCTCACAAGGACCTCCTCCCCTAGCTGGGCCTGGAGCGCTTCCACGGCGTGGGGATCATGGGTCTCAACTCAGAAGAGTGGGTCATCACCAGTATTGGTGCCATCATGGCAGGGTAAAGGGCACATGGCCCCTCCCTGGAGCGTTTTGGGGGCAGGAACCCACCAGCCCACCTTCTATGGGGTCCCGAGGAAGAGTCCTCAGGACAGGGAGCTGACAAGGGCTCCCACTTAAGTCTATGCTTAGTGGGATTTTTCAACGGCCCAGTCCTGTGCATGCCCAGCTCACCCTTCCAGACATTCTCCACCTAGTGAACTCATATACATCCTGTGAAGCCCCACTCTCATATCCCCTCTCCTAGAAAGCCCTCCCCACTTCTCAAGGCTCTCCAGCACTGAGCCCTCTCTCCACCCATCCAGGACACTGGGGAACCCCTTGAGAGCAAGGTCCAAGCCTGGGCTGTCCCTGAATTCCACCTCCCAACAGGGTATGTTGTGTCAGGTGCTGGGGACTCCCAGGAACCTTGCACTCACCCAGCAGCGAGTAGCTGGGATTACAGGAATGCGCCACCACACCCGGCTAATTTTTTTGCCTTTTTAGTAGAGACAGGGTGTCACCATATCATCCAGGCTGGTCTCGAACTCCTGGCCTCAAGAGATCCACCCGCCTCGGCCTCCCAAACTGCTGGGATTACAGGCATGAGCCACCATGCCTGGCTATCAATTTTAAATAATAATTAATATGCTAAGAGCTCTAATGGAAAAAGCGGACAGAACCTACAACAGGGCGGTTCTCGTAAGCAGAGAGATGGAAACTCTAAGAAATCAAAAGGAAATGGTCATCAAAAACACTGACATAAAGCAAGCATGCTTCCAATGGGCTCGGCAGGGGACTGAAGCCGGCCGAGGAAATCATCAGTGAGCCTGAAGCCGGGTCAATAGAAACATCCCTCGCCGAAAATCTTAAGAGAAAAAAAGAGGCCAGGCACAGTGGCTCATGCCTATAGTCCCAGCACTTTAGGAGGCTGAGGTGGGAGGACTGCCTGAACCCAGACGCTCAAGGCCAGTCTGAGAAACTTAGCAAGACCCTGTCTCTATTTAAAGAAAAAAAAAAAAAAAAAAGAAAATTGAGAAGAAAAAAGAAAAGACAAAAACACAACGAAATGGACAAATGTAAAAGAACCGCGGGACAATACAAAAACCGTAACATACACATAATGAGGGTTGGTTACAGATCTGAGGCTGAGGCCGGCGGATCACCTGAGGTCAGGAGTTTGAGACCAGCCTGGCCAACATGGTGAAACCCTGTCTCTACCAAAAATACAAAAATAGCCAGGCATGGTGGCAGACACTTGTAATCCCAGCTACTTGGAAGGCTGGAGGCAAGAGAATCACTTGAACCTGGGAGGCGGAGGAGGCAGTGAGCCGAGCCGGCACGACTGCACTCCAGCCTGGGCAACAAGAGTGAAACTCCATGTCAAAAAAGAGAAAAAGAAAAAAAAAGAAAAAACATTGCTGAGAATTCTCCAGGAACTCACCAAGTGCCAACAAGGAGACATTTAAAAAAAAAGTAAGGCCAGGTGCAGTGGCTTACTCCTGTCATCCCAGCACTTTGGGAGGCCAAGGTGGGAGGATCTCTTGAGCCCAGAAGTTCAACACCAGCCTGGGCAACATAGCGAGACCTCGTCTTTACAAAAATTAAAAAAAAAAAAAAAAATTAGCTGGGCCTGATGGCACGTCCTTGTGGCCCCGGCTACTCAGGAAGCCAAAGTGGGAGGATTCCTTGAGCCTGGGAGGGTGAGGCTCCAGTGGGCCATGATAGCGCCACCCCACTCCAGCCTGGGTGACAGAGTAAGACTCCATCTAAAACAAAAACAAAAACAAATTAAAATTAAAATTAAAACTTCACAACAACAGATAAAAATATTCTGAAACACAAGCTGATTCATTTATATGAAGAAAAAAGCATCCAAGAATATCTGGGGAAATTCTGAAGCAGAATTATAAAGGGAAACTACCACTACCAGACTTTTTTTGTTTTGTTTTGTTTTTGAGACGGAGTTTCGCTCTTCTTGCCAGGCTGGAGTGCAATGGCGCGATCTGGGCTCAACGCAACCTCCACCTCCCGGGTTCAAGCGATTCTCCTACCTCAGCCTCATGAGTAGCTGGGATTACAAGCATGCGCCACCACGCCCAGTAATTTTGTATTTTTAGTAGAGACGGGGTTTCTCCATGTTGGTCAGGCCGGTCTCGAACTCCCGACCTCAGGTGATCCACCCACCTCGGCCTCCCAAAGTGCTGGGATTACAGGCGTGAGCCACTGCATCCGGCCGCACTACCAGATATTAATTAGGTCACCCAGTGGCAGACATGCAAAGGTGAGTACTGTGCATATGAGGGAAGCCAGGGAGAGACACAAACGTATGCAGGAATTGAAAAATACAACCAAAGATGGCATCTCAAATAAGTTAAGGAAAGACAGGTTATTCAATAAATGGGGTGGATCGCCTTGCATAGCTATTGGGGAAATAGAGTTGGGGCCCTCCCTCATGGCTAAATAAATTCCAGATGCAACAAATTGAAATGTGAGAAAGAAAGAGGGAAGGGAGGCAGGAAAAGGGGGAAGAATTGAATTCTTAGGAGAAATCAAGGGAGAACCTAAAAGAAAAACATCCTAAACAATAACAGCCCAAAAGCCATTTCAAGGAAAACTTGATAACTTGATAATGGATCACTTGAGGTTAGGAGTTCGAGACCAGCCTGGGTGAGAGTGAGACTCCATCTCAAAAAATAGTAATAATAAGTAAATAAATAAAAAAGAAAAAGAACGAGGCATGGTGGCTCACGCCTGTAATCCCAACACTTGGGAGGCCGAGGTGGGTGGATCATGAGGTCAGGAGTTCAAGACCAGCTAACCAAGATGGTGAAACCCCGTCTCTACCCAAAATACAAAAATTACCTGGACAAGGTGGCAGGCGCCTGTAATCCCAGCTACTCGGGAGGCTGAGGCAGGAGAATGGATTGAACCTGGGAGGCAGAAGTTGTGGTCAGCTGAGCTCGCATCGCTACACTCCAGCCTGGGTGACAATGCGAGACTCCGTCTCAAAAAAATAAAAATAAATAAAAAAGAATCCTGGGCGAGTCGGCTTGCTGAGGCTGTTTCTTTTTCTGTAGACAGGGATGAAGCAGTGCCTGCCTCATGGAGTGCTTATGAAGAGTCCATGAGAGAACTCTTAGGGATTTTTTTTTTTGAGTTGGAGTTTCACTCTTGTTGCCCAGGCTGGAGTGCAGTGGTGAGATCTTGGCTCACCGCAAGCTCTGCTTCCCAGGTTCAAGCGATTTTTCTGCCTCAGCCTCCCGAGCAGCTGGGATTACAGGCGCCCGCCACCATGCCCAGCTAATTTTTTGTATTTTTAGTAGAGACAGGCTTCACCATGTTGGTCAGCCTGGTCTCAAACTCCTGACTTCAGGTGATCCACCCGCCTCAGCCTCCCAAAGTGCTGGGATTAGAGGTGTGAGCCACCTCTAGCCTTTTTTTTTTTTTTTTTTTTTTTTTTTTTTTTGAGACAGGTTCTCTCCTGTCACCCAGGCTGGAGTGCAGTGGTGCAATCTTGGCTCACTGCAACCTCTGCCTCCCGGGTTCAAGCAATTCTTGTGATTCAGCCTCCCAAGTAGCTGGGACTACAGGTATGCACCACTACGTCAGGCTAACTTTTGTAATTTTAGTAGAGACAGGGTTTCGCCATGTTGCCCAGGCTGGTCTTGGACTCCTGGACTCAAATGATCCACCCGCCTCGGCCTCCCAAAGTGCTGGGATTATAGGTATGAGCCACCATGCCTGGCCAGAAAGCCCTACCACATTTTTACACATCCGTAGTCCTTCCACTGCATCTTGGAGCGTCTGGGAACCCTGAAGGAACCACCATAGACCCTCTTTCACTCCATATTCCTACTTTAGGAGCTCAGACCCAAAACCATACCCCGAAGGCTCAAAAGAACCTTTCTCTGGTAAGGCACAGGGCAGGGAAAGCCACACTCTGATGCTGGGAATGGATTTTTTGGTTCCAGAGTAGAAAGGAGAAGACATGCTCCAGAGTCACCAGCGCTAAGCTGAGCCCAGCTGAGTCCCCAGCTGCTGCCTGCTGACAAAGGTGATCTCAGTCAGTGGCTGCCGCAGTGACTCTGCAATGTGGGCCGCTCAGGAATGGAACTCCTGCTCCTCTGGGTGGAGCTGGAGCTGGAGCACAGAGGACAGATCTGCTCAAATGGGGCCAGTGACAGCTTTGTCTCCTGGAGGTTCACTGAGCTCTGCCACACTGAGGCCAGAGAAAAACCCACCATAGGGAAACTGGGAGATGGCACGCTGGCTCCTGGGAAAAAATGTCTGCCTACCTTTTTCTTTCATCCATCCATCCATCCATCCATCCATCCATCCATCCACCCACCCATCCATCCTTCTTTCCTTCCATCCACCCATTAATCCACCCATGGATCCATCCATCCATTCATCCATCCTTCTTTCCATCCATCCACCCATCTGCCGTTCCTTCCTTCCCTCCCTCCTTCCTTTCTTCCCTCCTTCCTTTCCTCTCTCCTTCTTTCCTTCCTTTCTTTTCTCCTTCCTTCCTTCCTTCCATCCACCCATCAATCCATCCATCCTTCCATCCTTTCTTCCACCCACCCACCCATCCGTTCATCCATGGTCCACCCAACCAATCATCCACTCATCCATCAAACCATCCGTCCATTCACCCATACACCTTATGAAACCAAGTTTTCTTCTCAACCCAAACCTTGCTGCCTGCTTCCAAGTAGAGAGCACAGCATCAGAAGCAGGATGCGAGCCAAATTCTCTGCCCTCTTGAACTGCTGGTGGCGTCGCCTCCAGCCTTGTTCACACTCCCCGCCCCCACCAGGCTTGGTCCCAACCCTCCTTCCCCTTCTTGGTCACTGATCTAGGAGCACCGGGACAGGCAGTCGGGGCAGGGGGCCCCAGGCTACCTCGCACACCTGACCACTGACTCGACACAAGGAACGCGGCAGATGCATGGGTCTGCTTTCCCATCTGACTTTATTTCACTTTTTTTTTCTATAAAACTCCTCCATAATTTCACAATTTAACAAAAGTTTAAAATCCAGGAAAGAAACAATCCTGTAACTCGTTACAAACACGATTCTCCTTATTCCTTTTATCCAGGAGTTGGTCTCGGGCCGATGAGTGTCCTAGTTCCTAGTGAGACACATTCTTTGTAAAAACCCTTATGGGCAAGAAAGGTATTCGATACCATTTGCTTTCCGGCGTCGGTTTACATTTTTGTTCAGGAGAGAGCAAAACACAGAGATTTGCACTGGGGGCAGGCGGCTTAACACGAAACACGTGGCAATCACAAAGTGCCGGGCCCCTTCCTATGGAAGTGTCCCCAGAGCCCTCGAGGGCCCAGCTGCCGGGCAGCTGGGGTGGGGTGGGAGAGCAGCTGGGGATGCTGCTTTTGGAGCCCATGCTGCCCGGCACGTCCATCGGGTGGTCACGGAGCCAGCCCTGGGCCCAGAGCAGCTCTGGAGGACAACGTGAGGCCTTCCGGCCAGAGGAGGTAACTGAGAACTGGGTTGGTGCTTCCGGAGGCCTTGGAAACCGCAGGAAGGGCCAGACGCCACCACTGAGAGCAGGCGGGGGAGCCCGGCCCTCCTCTGGCTGAGCGGAAGGCTGCTCGAGTCGCTGTGTGGATCCTGGGGGGGACTCTCGTGAAGGAGAAAGGCCAGCATCCTGGGCTGAGATTCCTGTCCGTGACCCCCGGCGGCCTCTGTGCATAGAGCACCCAGCAGCACAGGCCCCCGGTCAGCCCCCCTCAGGCCAGTTCCTTCAGTCCAATGTCTTAGTTTCCAGAGAAGAAAGGAAGTGCCCCACGGTGGAGTATTGTTGGCCGACCTGGGAAGGGGAGAGGGGGCACAGGGGCCTGCCCTCTTCCTGATACCTGAAGGCAGTGGGGCCGGGAGAGAAACAGAGCAGGTGGCGAGGAGTCCCGGAGGCTTCCTCGGAAGGTTCTCGGGCCTTTCCCCGAGGGTTCTGGGGAGTTTCCCCAGGACAGCTGGCACTGGGGGCAGCCTTGGAGGCAGGGGTCCTCACCAAGGAGTGTTCAGGTCTGCTGACAGAATCAGAGCAGGGACAAGATTGGGGACCTCAGAGAGGGACAGATGGAGCCCCCCAAGTCTGAGCTCATAGGCTGGGGAGGAGGAGACATCTAGGTGGGTTCGAGAGGGCGCGAGTCCACCTCCAGGCCCTCAGCCCTCTTTTCCTCCTAACTTGGTCAGGGCACAAGGACTTGAAAGGACTTGAAAGTCAGGGGCTTGGGAGGACTGGAGGCGCCTCGAGTCAAGGTCTGGGAAACGGAGGCTAACCAGGTAGGCCTCCAGCCCCTGGGACCCTCAGCCAAGGTGGGCTGGCTCCACAGGAGCGTCCTGGTCCTGGAAGAGTGGGCCGGGAAGGAGGACCAGCTTGGCCCGTGGAGAATCTCAGGCATACCAGGAGTGGGGCTGCAGGCACGGCACCAGCATGAATTGTGGCGGTGGAGGCCGGGGCGGGCCGGGCCACGACCAGAGAGAAAGGCAGCCTGGGAGGGCCAGCCCGGCCAACCCAGCGGGCCTGCCGACGGCCGAGCCCACGCTCAAGGGGCTGACCGGAGTCCAATGCGCCTCAGAAAACTCCATAAACTATCCCGTCTTATTTGGCAAAAGCTCGTATTTTTTTTTTCAAAGTTTGAAGACTTGATGAATGAAAGAGAGGAAGAGGAGCCTATGGGAGGAGGCCGAGCCCCGGGGCGGCCGATGCGAGTCTGTCCCCGGAGACTGTTGGCGCTAGTCTGAGTAGAGCCCGAGAGCGGAGTGGGGGCTCCCCGGCGCCCTGAGGACTCACTGCCCTTTGTAGTGTTGGCTGGCCCCCCGGGAGCCCCAGCAGGAGGCGGCGGCATCCTTGGAACGGCAAAGGGAGAATTCCTCCATGCGCCCGGAGAGGGCCGGCTGCCGTGCCTGGCTCGGCCTCCAGCCCCACAACACCACCGCGGACACATCTTAACCTACAAGCCCCACCGTACGCACCCCCCACCCACCCCACGTGCACTGCTGCCACAGAAACGCACATGGACACTGCTCTTAACCAGACAGTGCACACACATATATAATAGAGAGAACTATACAGCACGGACCCCAGCGCAGCGTGAGCCGGGGAGGAGCCGGCGCTAGGTCTACACGGAGGACGACGCAGACACACAGGCAGGGCCTTCTGAGGCCCAGGGTGGGCAGAGGGTGTGTTCTGAACCATTCAGGAGGCTGGAGACGCTCCCCAGCCTTCGGTCCGCTGCTCAGAAAGGCTGGGGCAGCCACGCCCTGCCGCACAGCCCGCCGAGGAGTGGGGCCTGGTCCCAAGGCTGGGCGAGGGGCCCCTGGCCCTGTCTCTGCCCAGAGCTGCCTTCAACACCAGCCGCTCTCTGAGGGGAGCCCGAGGGGCGGCTCGCGGGTGGCCCAGCCTGGCCCCAGGGCTCCTGGCGATGGAGCAGGGAGAGTGGGCAGGGAGCCGCCGAGGAAAGTGCAGCGGGCCGTGCGGGCGAGGACAGGGCTGTCGCTAAGGCAGTGCTGCGGGCAGGCGAGACGGGAGAGGAGGGCAGGCGGGGCCCGGCTGCAGCCTCCCAGGACCCCGGTGGTGGGGGCCCGGCACGCGGCCCAGGGTCATGTGGCCACGGCCTCCAGATAGCTCTGCAGTTTGCGCACGGTGGTCTCGTCCAGGGAGAAGAGGTCGAAGTCGAAGGTGGTGTTGGTGACGTTGAAGTGGCCGGTCTCCTCGATCAGATTCACAATCTGTAAGGTGGTGGCAGGTGGCTTCAGGGGCGGGAGGCCAAGGGTGGGGTTGCCCTGTTCCCCAAGAGAGGTATGGGGCTCCTGGGACAGCACTAGGGACCCCTGCAGCCCACACTCCTCACGGGCACCCAGACCTCAGCCAGGCAGGACCCTCGGGGGGGGCGATACCTGCTGCAGCACGTTGCGCTCCCGCAGCGCCATCAGCCTCCGGTGTAGCTCCACCAGCTCGTCCGTGTAGGCCTGGAGAGCGGGGCGGGTCTCAGCAGCGTGTGGGGGGCCCTGGGCCCTTCCTGCTCCCATGCCCAGCCCCACCCATGACCCAGTCCCAGTCCATCCCAGCACAGGACAGAGGTAGCCACATTCACCCCAAGGAAGGCCCAAGGCTGCAGGGGCAGTGCCTTAGCTCCAAGGCCTTGCCGGGAGGGGAGGAAGGACTGTCTCTGCTCCCGCCAAGGAACAGTCTGACTGTGGGGTGTTCAGGGGTTCTGGGGTCCTCCACTGGCTGCAACTCCCACCACCCGCCCCTCCTGAGCACCCCCACCTTGTCGTAGGTGCCCTTCTTGAGGATCTTCTCGGGCTTGCTGCAGGACTCAGGGCTCCTCCGGCCTGACACCTGCAGGGAAGCCAGGTCTCCACTGAGCTGCGGCCCACACCAGCCCCAGCCCCGAAGGCCCCGCAAACCCTCCTAGGACAGCCAGGCCCAGGGCTAAGCCCGGCCTCCTGTGCACCCCCTGCCTGCCTGTGGGCCCCGGGCTCACCTTGCTGTTGGGCGGGGGTGGCTTCTGGGGGGGTGGGGGCTCGCGGCTGGGCAGGGAGGAGTCAGCGCTGTTGTCACTCTCGCTGTCGCTGAAGCTCAACCTGAACCGACACACGGGCGCATCAGGCCCCTGACGCCCCCACCACCCCCAACCCGCCCCCAGGCTCAAGCCCCTGTCCCCGCACAGAGTCGGCACCTGAGCCCACACACCCCCGACAGCTCCATTCAGCTCTGCGCAGGACCCTCAACTTAAAAAAAAAATACTGTGTGTGTGGCCACCAAAAGGAAAGAACCCCAAGAAAACTAGGCCACCCAGAGGCCCTTTGGGGGCTGCCCGAGCCGGCCCGGGATACCCGGGGCACAAAGTCCCCCAGCCAGATGGGGCTTGCTGGGCTGTGGTCCTCTGACTTGGTTCTGTGGCTTTAACAAGGGGAGGAGGAGCTGCCTGCTGAAAAACCCCGGGCTTCTCCCAGCACTGCCCTGGGGCTTCCATGGCCGCCTGCCCCTCTGATGCTCCCGCGGCCGCCTGACCAGCTGATGCTCCCACGGCCGCCTGCCCCTCTGATGCTCCCGCGGCCGCCCGCCCCTCTGATGCTCCCGAGGCTGCCTGACCCTGGTGTGCTCTGGACGGCAGGCCTCCATCAGCTACATCGGCCCCCTGACCCTAGAGGGTGTGGTCCTAAACACAAGTATCTGGTGGTGGGGAGAGGCCCAAGCTCTCAACCTCCCCCACCCTGGGGAGCTCTGCCTCAGTTTCGCCATCTGTGAAAGGAGGCCGCCATGACCACACACACAGCCTGGGCCCATTTTTCTCTCACTGTGCGTGCCTGGGGTCCCGCTCTGCCAGGGATATTTTGGGCTTGATCCAGCGAGAGGGGCCCCTGACAACTATCACTTCATAACACGTTTAGAACACAGCAAACCCCAGGCCTCCCGGCGAACAAGGTGAAAGAAGCGCCTCAAGCACACTGGACTCCCTGCTGGGCAGCACAGCCATTGCCCCCGTTCCTGGCCTGCTCCTGCCCCGGCGCAGGCTCCGTCCATCTCTTAAACTTGCCCCTCAGTGGCCTCAGGCTGGGGCCACTCTCTGCAGCTGCCTCCCGACTCTGGCGGCTCCAGGTCTGGCTCACGTTGCCCAGGCGACGCCCCTGCCTGCGCTCCCGCCGGCCTCTGCCGCGCATCCCACAGGTGACTGGGATGACGGCTGGGAACCACTGCAGACTGGGCTTCCCAGGCAGCAGACCAGGGTGTGCGGAAGCTCCGATGGTGCGGCCTGTGCGCTCCCTGCCCCAACAACGCGGGGACAAGGCCAGCAAGCCCTCACCCAGGGCCCACACAAACACACAAACATTCCAGGAGGAATCAAAAGACACCTCGCGTGAGGCTCGGTCCCTGTGCCGTGCCTGCTGGCCCCTTTAGAACCAGACCCTATGTCAGCCTCTCTGCGCTCACGGCTCTTGGCGTAAGCAGAATCCACCCTGAATGTCACTGAACGAGGCGGGAGCCTCCAGGTCCTGTCCTGGGGACGCCACAGCCCTCCTCGTGTCTAGAGGCTAAGTCCCTGTCAGAGTCGTGGGCCTGGACCTCCCACCAGCAGCTCCCCTGCAGTGAGCCACTGCTCCTGCTCTGTCTGCGGTGGGCGGGAATCCCGCCATGTGCCTCTGGCTGCACATGGAGGACCAACCAGGCCCTGCCGCCCAGCCTGCGGGAAGGTGGCTTCAGTGAACAACAGACAGCTGCAGGCGCCTGTGAGGCTCCCATGCACCTTGCTGGGTGCAGGCTGGTAACCAGCCCTATCTTCAGTAGAAGCCACTGGGGCCTGAAGGCCTCAGCCTCACAGGAGGAGGAACTGACTGCCGGCTCTGCTACAGCTTTGGAAAAGCCTGGGCCCCTGCCCACTGAAACCTGTGTGCCCGGGGCCAATGCCCGCATGTTCTCTGCTGTCGCTGGGCTGGAGGCCGAGCGCGCGGAGCTCTCCCAGGTGGGGTCACACCAAGGGTCCTGCATATCCCAAGGAGGCGCTCGGCACCCCTGTGCCTCTCGGGGAAAAGGCCACAGGCAGCCAAAGCTGTTCCCACACTGGGTGTCGGCTGTCCCAGGACGGGGCTCCCCATGGATCCTCACCAGTGTAAGGCAGGTGGGAAAGGACTGGGAGTCTCCTGGCCCGAGAGCAGAGCAACAGGCCTGCTCCCTCCCCCCACCTCCAGCCAGGGCTCCCTCCTGCACCCCTCCCTGCCGGACAGCCTACACCTGCCAGCGACCACGAGGAGGGACAACACCCAAGGCCCCAGATGGGGGCAGCCCTTGAGGCCCTCAGCCTCAGGGACCAGGAGAGGACACACAGCCCCAGACCCACCCCAAGGCCCAGGCTGGACTGAGGCCACCTGGGGACGGATACTCGCTTTGGCCCTCCCAGGGGACCCTCCAGTCCCAACCCCACCTCCAGCCTCACAATCACTGCAGACCCAGCCAGAGGCGCCCCGGGTGGCCGCCTCCGCCCACTGGCTCCCGCCGGGCAGTCACCTGGAGTCCCTCCCCGGGTTGGTCTTGCCGGCAGCCTCCTCGCCTGACGAAGAGTCATCCTCGTCGGACTCCTCAGACTGCAGGTCCTCCACCATGGAGCGCAGGGGTCCTGGGGAGGCGGGGCGGGGAGGGAGGGGAGACAAGGGCAGGGCTCCGCTGAGCCTCCAGGGTCCCTCGCGCACGAGGCCACACAGAGCTTCTTGACACTGGTGACCCCCAAATGCACACGCCAGCCCACCTGGGGGTCCCTGTGACCATCTCCAAGAACTGCCCCCACACCGGCAGCCACCCCCTTCCCCAAGAACCCCCTGGCTCCCCCACCCCTCCCTACCTTCCTGGCCCTGCTCGCAGGCCTCAGGGGCCTGGCCGGCAGTGGGCGCGCAGGGCCCCTCCATTGCTGCAGCCGGAGGAGAACCCCTCCTCTGCTCAGGGCACAGAGATCAGAAGCTCTGCCGAGAGCCCAGGGAGGGCGACGGAGCCACAGCCCGGCTTGGAAGCTGGGCCTGGGGCCACAGATTTCTCTGCCTGCGCCCTACGCCGGCCTGCCCACCCCCTCGGTAATCCCCTCTGCTGCTCCCAGTCCACCGTCCTCCCCTTTCTCCAGAGGCACACGGTTCCAGTCCCCTACAGACGGCATCTTGGTTTATATTCCTGTTACCAAGGCAACAGAGGGACACAAAGCCCTCAATTACCTTAGTCACATGATCCCGCTTCAGTAGGTCCCCCTCCCTTCCCGGCAGATAAGAACACTTGGAGCGAGTGTGGGCTTCAAGGTCCCCATCCCCCAGCCCCCTCGGCAACTGCACGGCTGAATTCCAGGCCAGACTCCCTCCACAACCCCGTACACTCCTCTCCCCCAGCCCCCCGGCAAAGGATTCCAGGCCAAGGGGGAAGGAGGCTCCTGTTCCAATACAGGAGTGGAAACGCTTCTGGCCTGGGAGTGGGTGCTGGGGTCTGGGCTGGGGCT